GTATCATCAGCGTACATTTAAACGATGTTTTCCCGGTACAATAAATAACAAATTTTGATTTTTATGATACATTTTTTGAGATTAAAAAAGCTATCGAAAGTTTCTTTTCCACGCTTTTACACGTCGTCATCTTACATTCCATGACCTTTAAGAAAGATTCTTCCAAGGGTCTATCAATCCGATCGGCGACGTTGTCGTCGTCGTCGTCTTCGTCGTCTCTCTTGGCGATCAGACCGATATATTTTCTCAGCACTCGGGGTTTTCCTGTGAACAGGACGCACTGCGCCACCTCGAGAATGCTAGAGACTCCTCTACCAGCTTCTTCGGATATATTCTACCATCGGCCATATCCGGTCACGCCGGGTTGACCGCACACACGTACACACAGAGATTTGTACAATATACAGGATTACTCAGAAATCACTATTCTTTTCTTTCCGATTTATCGTCGATTCTCTCAGTGAAAAGTTATATATAAAATTGTTAGTTTTATAATTTTATCAACAGTTATTATTACTCTATTACTATCATGACTGATACGACAATTTATATCTAGTATTTTTCTATAACCGCTATAATTTCTGAGGCATCCTGTACGAGTACTGATACTGGCTGCGCGAGTTTCGTTTCATCCTACTTGTTGGATAAGGTCCTTGGAGTGGCCAGTGAGGAAAGGACCTCTTCCTTCTTTCCTTCCTTCCTTCCTTCCTTCCTTCCTTCCTTCCTTCCTTTCTTCCTTCCTTCCTTCCTTTCTTCCTTCCTTTCTTTCTTCCTTTCTTCCTTCCTTCCTTCCTTCCTTTCTTTCTTCCTTCCTTCCTTCCTTCCTTCCTTCCTTCCTTCCTTCCTTCCTTCCTTCCTTCCTTCCTTCCTTCCTTCCTTCCTTCCTTCCTTCCTTCCTTCCTTCCTTCCTTCCTCCGATCCTTGTCATTCTCCTTCCTTTTCTGCGAAATGCGTGGAGGAGGGGGATTGTTTGTACTCGCCTCTCTTCCATCGTTTCACCTTCCTTAGTCCCTGGGTTCCGTCTACGCCCCGCGGGATCCCGCCACCCCGTCGTTCGGAGCTCAGATTGCTTTTATACCATGGATTGATTGACAATATACTTACGTTAGCCGAGTGGACCGTACAGTTATGGAGACGGCTACACCCTCTTTGCCTTCCTGTTCCCACCCTGGTGCCACCGCCGTTAAAGCGCGACCCTCTTCCCTACGCTAGGAACATCGCCGCGGGATCCTTCCACTCCCTTCCTTTCGTCCCTTCCTTCGTTTCTCTTCGTTCATTCACTTGTGTAAAAGTAAGCGATTCTCAAAAGATATTGCTCCTTGGTAGAAAACATGGGCAAATTTCTTGGACAAGCGTACGATTTCACATCCCGTGGCCACATACATTTGCAACAACCGGAGAGAGAGCTTTTTTATTAAAACAAACTATGTGAAAAAAATATCGAAGTAAAAAAGAGAAATTTCAAAACAAGCTACTTTTGAAAATAATATTTTTTTAATTATTTTATTTTTGTTTTGCGGTAAAAAGAAGAGAAAGAAACGTTATAGAGAAACACAATACTTTTAATATATGTATATATATATATATATATATATATATATATATATATCTTATATATATATTAATTATTATGACCTATATCTATTTTTTTCATCTTTTCATTTTTC